TGGAATATTATTGGCATCTGGACTTCTCAACTATAGGTTTATTCTACAATGGTACATGTTCTAAAGACATAATTGCTATTACCACGTCCTTCTGTTCCTGTATAGTGTAAATAAGGGCAAATACATCACACTGACCTGCTTGTGTAGGCCCAAGTTCTGAAATGAAGGTGACCTTGTAAGAGTTTCAGTGGACCCCTTTTACCAGTTCACTTTAATACTCAAGGATTCTGCTATATAAGTTGCTGGGTTAAATATAGCAAAAATTAGTTTAGAGGTTGGTTGGAGCAACTTTAAAAATAGGCATTATGAAAAGAAAACCATCAGACAGCAATTTTGACTTGTATAAATAGAGCTCCCCATTCTTCTGTTTGTTTTAGTCCCTTTATTAAAATCTTTGTGCATTTTCCACCTCTCCTTTCTTTATCCAGCATTGGTGAAAAGTAGCTGAAGCCATTTTTTTTTCAGAAGCAAGCAATAATCAAACCCATACTGTGAAGCATTAATAGAGTCACTTATACCAAGCCCCTAAGGAGGGGGTAGTAGAGAGAAGTGAAGAAACTAGAGGTTAAATTAAAATGGGAACGTGGGAGTTGGGTAAAATAGGGAATGCCAGAGCACTAGCCATGCGTGCAGGTTAACGTTTATACATAACATTCAATGTGTGGCTTGCTGGTATTTTTGGACTTGTATTGTACAGCGACGAAATGATATGGGCATGTTGAATTGCCAGTGCTGACTATCACCTCATGGGGGCATCTTTGTATTTTATTTATGTACATTGAAAAATAGTTTTTCTTATTCTTGTAATAAATATCCGTGCACAAAACAACTCCACATGAAAATTAGTCGCTTAAGGAATTCTAAAACTCTGTCTGTGCAAACTTCTATCCAATCTGAGGCTGATCTGCCTATTTATCATTTTTTAAATAAAGAAAATATAAAATGCCAAGAAAAAAAAAACGGACAAAGCAGGGCTATTGCAGGAAAGCGTTGGCATACTTTTCACTGATAACCTGGCATGTAGATTTCTTTTTTCTTTCTATGACTAGGCTGAATTACAGATTTGTCCCAATGTGTGGTGTCAGTGGGAGGAAATAGTCTGGTGTTGGTGGATAGGGAAAAAAGTGCCCAGCATCAGGGGTCAGTGGGAGAAAAAAAATGTACAGTATGGGTGGGAGGAAACAATTTCTGATGTCAGTGGGAGGAAAAATTGCCTAGCGTCAGTTTTCAGTAGGAAGAAAAATGCATTGTTGTGGTCAATGCAACTTGTTGGTCAGTGGGACAAAAAAAAGATTGCTATCAGTGTCTGTGGGAGGAATACCTTGACATCAGTATTCAGTAGGTGGACAATGCATTGGTGTAAGTGGGGTGGCAAAAAATGCATTAGGATTTGTTCAAAACATCACGTGTGTTATAGCAGTGCATGGCAATGCAAGTTATGCATGTTAATTGAATGAGGTGCCATTAATAGCACCCCAATGCACCTTGTGGACGGACGCATGCTGCAGTGCACCACAAGGCACTATGACTTGTGTGTTGTAGTGCACTGCGTTATAAAATATAGTGCTCACACCCAGGGGCGTAACTAGAAATCACAGGGCCACATAGCAAAATTTTGTACGGGGCCCTGGGAGCCTCCTCCTCCACCGCCGCTGCTGGCTCTAATTGACTCAGCAGCAGCTGTGGAGACGAACGCAGCACTGCACAGATCACCAACAGTGATCTGAACAGCAGCGCGTTCGGAGCCATAGCGACCCAGGCGGCCCGTACGGCATCAGGGGGGTGTCCTGGCCGGGCCCCATAGCGGCCGCCTGGGTCGCTATGGCGATTGTTACTCCACTGCTCACACGTTTACTGGTGCATTGGGCAGCCGATTCAAATTTTGGGCTGCCTTAATGCAAAGCACAATAACACGTGTGCCCAACAGAGTGAACCCTGCCTTAGTGTCAGTGGGGTGAAAAAATGAATTGGTGTTAGTGAAGAAAAAAAAAAACATTGCAGTCAGTGGGGGGTGGCCAGGGAGCATTGCTGGTCAGTGTGGGTGGGGAGACATTGATGGTCAGTGAGGGTAGCTCCTTATTACTGCATTTATTTTTTATTACTATTAATGCACTGATACCATTTTTCCAGATCAAGTATGAGTACCGATACTTTTCCTAAAGTACTCACCAATACCAATTACAGATGTCTTTTTTTTTTAGTGTCATGTGACAGTTTTCCTAAAGCAATACAGACTGATGATTTTAGGACAGTGGTGAAGTGCCAGGGCTGAGTGACAGCTGCGACCACTGGACCCCTTGTAGTTTTGCCACTGATTCCAAGCCGTAGAGGGACTGCAAATCTCAGCAATACATTATATAGCAATGCAGAATGGCACTGGCTATAGAGGACTACAAATCCCAGCAATACATTATACAACAATGCAGACTACCACCAGCTATAGAGGACTACAAATCCCAGCAATGCATTATACAGCAATGCAGAATAATATGAAGCTACATCGCCAGGTCTGTGTGTGTGGCGTGTCACCAGGGCTGTGTGTGTGGCGTGTCGCCAGGGCTGTGTGTGTGGCGTGTCGCCAGGGCTGTGTGTGTGCCGTGTCGCCAGGGCTGTGTGAGGCATGACTGTGTGTGGTCTCACATGTGGTAGGAAGAGGAAGAGGTGCCGTGCGGCCTGACCGGTGCTGTAAGCAGCACCGTGAAAGTCCTCACAAGGCTGTAGTACTGAGTACTCATGAAAATGCCCAGTATCAGCACCAATACCTATACTGGTATGGGTATCAGTGCATCCCTAATTATTATATTATCATACAGGATTTATATTGTGCCAACAGTTTTCCTTCTGTACTCAGACTTTACAGTAGCAGATTCGCAGCTCAACATATATGCAGATTAGATTTCAGTTTTCTGTTTTAAGGTGCCCATACACTGCTCGATTCTCGTACGAGAATCGGGCGAAATCCGGCGATCGTACGAGAATCGAGCAGTGTGAACGAAGACGTGCGACCGTTTCTACTGTACGGTCGCACGTCTTTTGTCGAACCAACATGCTTGAAAACCCGCCGAGAATCGTACGATTGTCGGCGGGTTTCTAGCCTGCTCGTCCGATAGCTGCGGAACGGGCCGGTGTGCGCACACGCACACTGCCCGTTCTGCATTGCGGTCATCGGAAGCCCGCCCCTCAGCGGGGCGGGCTTTCGATGATCGCAAGTACGATCTGCCCGTCCAAGGTGGGCAGATCGTACAAGCTTTCAATAAGCATACGACCATCGCAAGACAAAAGTCTTGCGATGGTCGTAAGGTGTATGGGCACCTTTAGGCTAGAAAAACATTGTCTGGGTCCAATTCAGGCATCTCTTTTCTCTGACCTGCAATTTACACCTTACCTGCTGATTGTGGGAAGCATTACACAGTGACAGGTACTCACTGTATCAGATAAATCAAGGAATAAAGCATTGTTAAGAACTTCTTTTCCACTGTATTGAGTATCTGTCATGGATACCGTGCGCAGGTGTCCTCACACCGAATGCAGGTACCCCCTTGGGAGGACCAAATGCGTGACCACAACAGACCAGGCTAATTGAGCTTATATACAGTTTATTTATGCAGAGCGAAACATAACACAACCCACAAATAAGTAATAGTAACCAACTAAATACACACCCAAGCACATACAAAAAGATAACGTAAAGTAACCATAACTAGGAGCAAACCGCAGAATACCCACACAGGGTATAACAGGGCAGGAAAACCTGGGGAGCAGGGCAACAGGAACATAAGCAAGTAACAGGACGCAGGATTCGCAGGAAATGGCAACAGGATACTGAAGCAAAATCCAGAGTGCATGGAGGGATTAAATACCCTCCCAGGTAGTGATTAACCACTGACCGCTGGGAGAGAGCCACAGGTGAGGAATGGACAAGCGGGTTCCAGCACCACTCAGTGGTGGTCTGGTATCTAACATCTCCTGGCTGCCTGAAAACACCTGCAGGTGAGCACAGGAACTGCAGGACCTGGTTCCTGCGCCCCCTGGAGGTGCTATGGTCCCTAACAGTATCGATGCTGCTGCCCTTGCTCTGCTTCCTCCTGATGCAGTGACTATGCACCTACTGTGGGGCAGGAGATCCCCCTGCTGGACAGTTTGTGTCCTTGGGGCAGTTCTGAAGAATCCCGGACAGTTGAGGAGTATGGGTTAGGCAAAACTGCATGTTTACATGGTGGAATCAGTGCAGCTCCCGATGTACTTCCAGGTCACTTGGATGTAAGAGATACAGGTCTCATAGACCCCAGCACTGCAGTTGAGTCTCCACCTCCCTTTTCTCCTGGACATTCACATAGGAAGCCTAGAGCTCTGTGTTTTGTGAATGGCCTGGAGAAGATGGAAGTGTAGACGCTACTTTTGGGTCTATAAGTTTCTAGACTGTACATAGAATTCAGCTTTCGTCTAAAGTGAACCTGTGTGTTGCCCATGCAACTGGTTGCATAAATACCTCTCCTCCAACTGCTTATGTATACTCTTCTTCTCTTTGCTCCTTTGCCACTTTGTTCAGTCATGGAAGTAAAGAGCATAAGCCCTGTGTAAGCTCCAAGTTGGTTAACTCAGAGCTTCTATAGGGCTAAGGACTTTATTCCAACTTCACCATGAGCGTTCTGGAGCCTGGTAATTGGTCACATCCAGTGGATTCATATGTTCCCCCATACTTGGAAGTAGCTGGTATTTCCTTATGGGACAAGCATCTGAATGAAGCAGTTGGGGAGCAAATATATGCAGGGGGTGGGTGGAGGGTGGTAATTTAAGTTTGTCTTGTAAAGATAAAGCTCAGGTTCACTTTAAGGCTAAAAAAAAACAAACCCTTATATGACTTATATGCTTCTAATCATAAAAACACTGAAACATTTAATTTAAATTTAGGTCATTCTTTTGCTTGAATTATAACCAACCTACAAAGCTGGATCCAGGAAGAGAATGTTTAAATTCTCAGCATTATCCTCTGCACAAAAAAAAAGAAGAGAATTAAACTGAGGTTATGACCTAATTAGACAGGAGCAAGTTGAACGAGACTGCAGACAGCTTTACAAATATCCAAGCCTGTTTATCCTGGCATTTTAATCTATTAGTGCGTTACGACCTACATTCAATTTTTTTTTGCGAGAGCACCTGAATATTCGATCAACTTTCCATCACAAAAAAAAACCTCATGCAGACACTCACACAGACTATAGGCTTTGGCATTCTAAGTAATAAAAAGAAGAACATCGCTCTGACTAAGAGCAGGTCATTTATGTAAAAATTATGTAAAAAAAAAAGGGCAATCTTTTCGGAAGCCTAAGCTGAAATATTTAATTGTAACTTTTTTTGTATGTGGCGGTGACGAGGGGGCTAGAGTTTGCTGTAAGCCTTTGCACCCTGCATCTTTTGTGGGGGCTGAGCCATTGTACACTTAGCTCTTTTTCTTTTTTTACACTCCTGTGCAGTTACTTGCATGCTGACAGAACGCTTTATATAGTAAATACATCATGGAATCATCCAACGTTACTTTATTTTCGAATGCACAGAACAGAAAATGTCTTTGGTATTAGTTAGAGAAGGAGATCTAATACGTTCATGGCTGAACTTACAGAAGAATTGAATACTAATTTATTTGTGAAATATTTATACTTCTAACCTATTTAGATGTACCTCCTTTGGCTGAGGACAACTCTGGAGCTCAGAGTCAACACTGAGAGGCCCCTTGAGGTCTGATAGTTGCTTCTCTGTCAAGAGCCTGATCTTACACTATTGGAAGTCTCCTATCTTCTAAGTATGCATACCAGTACCAAATAACAGTGTGTCATTATAAAGAGAAAAAATTATTAACTTTGGCACTTTAACAGCATCAAAAAAACTACTCAAAGGTATAAAGTGCAGGCACCAAGAAGTGCTTATGGTGAGACAGAAAAACGTGAGCTCTTATTTTATCATGCCCATTATAAGGAGCTAGTAATGACTGCCCAATTGTCACATTAGGCTGTTAAAGAGACACGGTCACCTTGCCCATTCTGGGCAAAGTGACAGTGTCTTTGCAAAAGGCCCACCCCAACTCACTGATACTAACCTTGCCAGTGCTATCCTGCAGTTCTTCCTCCATGGAAGCCGGCATTAAAATTGTTAGTTTCAGCTTGTATTTGGTGCTAAGAGGAGAGGTGATGTCACTTTCACACAACAGTGCTCAGGTCTAGCGATTGGATATTAGACCCTAGCATTGTCACATAGGAGGAGGTCACATGTTCTACCATACCCATAATCAGCGGGTGGTGTTGTTGGCTGCAATGGAGATGAGAGCAGTGGGGAAGTGCTGGCAAGGGAGTATAAAGTGGTTAGAAGGGCTTCTTTGCAAAGATTCTGTCCTCTTGATCTGCATGGGCAAATCTCTTTAAGTGACTGATTGCAAGTTACATCACTGATATATTGTAAAAGACTGTTAATGACTGTCTTGGTAACCAGAGTCTGTTAAATACTTCTGACATATTCCAAGAATCCTGTTATAAACTGCCGCTAATTCTAGTTTGCAACTGTTAGTACTATTGCTTGAAATTTCTGGAGACCGCCAACATGTAGTTAAAGACTGTTAGGGATTGGTGACAAGTAGCAAGAGGCTTTAGACTTTTTTTGTGCGGTGTTATAAAGTGGTGTGCAAGAATGTGGGTGTAATTAACTAGGACTGCTTAAAAAGGCTTTTAGTAAATATGAATAAGAGTAAATTGCACAGCTTTCAATTTACTGAGAAAATGCCATGTTCAAGATATAGTAAAATGTTATAACATTTTACTGGTGTTGTCAGGCTTTGATAGGCAAGTGAAGCATGCTATAGGGTAGGACTGTGCAGAAATAAACCAGCGGGCCTCTGTAGCATGAAAGACAGTGATTGACTTTTAGGTGTACCCATATACCATAGATATCAGATTAGATTAGGGTCAGACAGGTAGACAATCTAATGTCTTTGGGGTACCAATAGAAACCAGTGACTGGGAGGATAAGTGACTCCATAGGTTGACCTGGTCCAGTCACTATTATTGTCCTCCCGATAAGTTGTGATCAGATGTGTCTAAAGATCGCTTCTTTCCATAGGTCTTAACCTGAATATTTGGGGAATGCAGCCTTTCCTCTTTTAGGGACGCACTAAAATTCTCAGATTCCAAAGTGTTGTTGGGTCATGCCGGCATGTCTGACTGCATCTAACTAGGGTTATTCAATCTGGAAAAATTATTTTACAGCAAACATTTGAAAAAAATGTTGTGTTTTTAATTTTTTTTTGTCAATTTATTCTTAGTAGAATATTAAATAATAAAGTAGTCTAAGGGTTTATCAATAAATGGAGAGACAAAGCACGATCAGTCCAAATAAACTCGCTCCCTTACAAGAGCGAGTCCAGCAAAAAACTTAAAAATAATGGCCATCTGGCCAACCCTGTAAAAATGTCTGTTTGACCTTGTAGACAATCCCTGAGCAGCACATACATAAAACAGGCACTTCCTGTTTTTTTTTAAAATTAAATCTTTATTCAAGTTTTTGACATAAAATTTTTACAACAATTTCATACAAAGTTAACATTCTCCATTCTTCCCATACAACCCCAGCCCTTCCCACACCCCCTCCATCCCTCCCCTTTCCCCAATATAGACCTCTCCGGCCACTCTAAGGACAAGGCACACTGGGGAACCTGGTACCACCGTGCTAACAGTTTATAGTTTACTTCCATTGTTCTAGTGTCTACAGTTGTACTAGTAACTAGTGTTAGTATTTTCTTCGCCTCTTCCTGTGAGAGTGTATAGTTGAATTCCCGTTCCCATTTCCTTAAATATTTTGGGATACTATCATTTTATTTTTTAATAATTGCTTTATATATTTTTGAAAGGCAGTGTTGAGGTGATTGTTTAGCTCCCATAATCGACTCAAATACGGTCAAGTCCCCCCCTGTTCTCAAGGGCTTGGGTAAGGTTTGGAAAAAAAGTTTTAATTGTTGATGTCTCCACCAATCCAGGGGGTAGCATCCCCAATCCTCTCTTAACTCCTGTAAGGAGCTAATCCTTGCCCCCGACATGATGTCAACCACTTTTAGTTGAGGACGCTTGCTCCAGTTTAGAAAAGCCTTGTCGGCTTTCCCCGGCGGGAAGTAATCATTCCCCAATAATGGGATGAGAATTATCTCAGCTACTCACTGCTCAGCGCCATCTTGAGCAGGCTCCACCCCCCTCCACCTCTTAATCCGCAGGCACTTCCTGTTTTATAAAAACCACCAAGATCTCCAGCCAAGTTAAATCCATGCTTGGGATGGTGGCCAGAGGGTCTGCCCTCAGCCTCCCTGATCAGACTTTAGAGCCTAAAATAAAACAGGAGCCTTAAATATGTCTACACTAGATACAACCAATGGAGCACCTTGATTAACAAAATGCAGCAAGGTTTGTGGCTGATATCTCCTGCCCCAGATCAACCCTTGAGCATCTAGAGCTCTTCACATTATGATACTGTTGACAGGGTGCACAGATCATGCAACCAGCATAAGCTGGTCCTCAAGCAAATATCAAAACTCAACTTTTAGTCCACATACTGTATGTGTTTATTTAAATGAATGTTATACAAGAATGAAGATAGAATAATAAGCTAACATGTATCTAACACAATTCCCATGATGCTCTGCGCACCAGAAAACAGGCTGGGAGGGGGGGCATTAATCGGGCAGTATTGTATTTCACATTGTTGTCATCCTGTTGTCATGTTTTAGGCATTAGAAGATGGAGGGGAGGTAATTAGGCACTTATACAGGGGTAGAGAACAGTCGTAACACTAGAAGTGTATGGATGTTCACCCTTAGGACAGTCAGCAATCTGCAGGCAGGAAGGTGACATAGAAAATTGCAAAGCTGAACACTCTGAATAGTGTTGTCTCCCTTCTGAGATACAGTGTGATAGGGATATGCACAATGAAGGCTAGTTGAACAGAATTACACATATTTTGGCTGGAGTTTCATTTTGAGCCACAACACATCTTTGGTGCTTGAAGTGAAGCTCTAGAGTCTAGACAAACACATTTTAATACACGCGTATTTACTCTTTAAAGCCACCCTTTCGCTAAGGAAATCAAACGCAGACAAAAGTAGCCTGCTGAAGACTTTACCATACTTGCCAATCTAGCAGGCAGTAACTACGATCTTTGGCTAATACCCCCAGTGGAATGTGACTCCTTCAGGTGCCAATGTCTCTGCAGATGAGTTATGTGCAGCAAGTTATGGCCAGTAGATAGAGCCAAAGAGCACCCTATGCTCCTTAGCTCCAAATCATTGGATTCAGGTGTTTCAATCACCTCCAAGGCCAAGCACCTAGGCATGCAGACTGAACCTAGGCATGCAGACTGGTGAAAGAATTTGTGAAAGAATGGGTCACTCTCTGGAGCTCAGTGAATTCAAGCACGGTACCGTGATAGGTTGCCACCTGTCAATAAGTCCATCCGTGAAATCTCCTTGCTACTAAATATTCCATGGTCAACTGTTAGTGGTATTATAACAAAGTGGAAGCGACTGGGAACAATAGCAAACCGCCAACAGTTACCAACTGTCTGCAGAGTCAATAGCTACAGACCTCAAAACTTCATGTGGCCTTCAGATTGGCACAACAACAGTGCGTAGAGAGCTTCATGGAATGGGTTTCCATAGCCGAGCAGCTGAGTCCAAGCCTCACATCACCAAGTGCAATGCAAAGTGTCGGATGCAGTGGTGTAAAGCATGCCAAAAACTGGACTCTAGAGCAGTGGA